GCGGGCGAGGCGAGCGGGGACGGTGTCCTGGCCCTGGTCCACTCAGGTCCCGCTCCATGCTGACCGCAGCAGACCCCAGCCTTGCAGGTTGCATGGGGAGCCTGGCCCGGCCCAGTCAAGGGTTGGGGAGTACCCAGGCAAGGCTGAATGACTGTGTTCAGAGGTCCAGGTCTTCAGATCTGATGGAGCTCCAGCCCACCGGGGTACACTCCCTTTCCCCAAGTCCCTGACTTACTGCGAATGGAGAGGTGAAGACCGTGGTTGGGCTCAGGCCATTTCCATGGAGGATTGTCATCCTGGTGGGGAGGGCATAAACTCAGTCTGGGATGGGGGAACACAACCCCAGAACTGCCTTTCACCTTTCACACTCCAAGATGAGAAGATTTGGAGTTCTATGCCCAGGATTCTGGGGTCACTTGCCTTCTCCTCTTTCTCCTTCTTCTCCTCTTCCTCCTCCTCCTTAGGGAAGAAAAGACCTTCCAATTGTCCAGGCCCAAGAGGGCTGGGCTCACCTCCATCGAGTGCTGGTAGGGTAGTGGGCACTGCTACTGTTGCCTGCTGAGCCAGACTCTCCACCTGCAATAACAAGCAGCCAAAGATGGGCAGGTAGGATCTTAGCTAATCCTATCAGAGCTAAGTGAACCCCAGAAAACATTACAGAACCCCTGCAAGGGAGATGGCCAGGTCACTTTGTGTGTGTGTGTGTGTGTGTGTGTGTGTGTGTGTGTGTGTGTGTATGCAGTATGTGCATAGCTCTCCCTCACCAGCTGATCCCGGGCTGCACTCAGACCCTCCAAAGCTTGAGACACAATGCTGTCTGCCAAGGTCCTCATAATTGACAAGCGCATGTCCCTGAAGGAAGGAGCGGATAGAGGTTAGTAGGCTGGCTCTGCCCAGCCCTGCCCAGCCCAGCCCTACCCAGCCTACCTGAGTCTAGTGAAGGCATCTTGGAGCAGCTGCTCTGGGAGCAACTCTGAGAGACCCCTTGAGCCCACCAGGACCCCCTCTAGTTGCTCCCTCCAGCTGGATCCCTGCAGCATCTTTGAGAAGAGCCTCCTTGTTGTGTCCAGTGTGGCCTGAGTGAAGTCCTGGGCAAAGGTCAGAGCAAGGTGAGGCTGTGGCCAAGGCTCGGGCCTCTTGGCTTGAGGCTGCAAGCCCCACAGAACACTGACTCAGGGGATATCACAGTAAAGGATATGGGATAGGGGTAAAAACTGCATATGGAGGGGAGGCTGAGTACCATCTCACCTGGATATCCTGGCAGCAGACCTCGCCCACCTGTCCTAGAAGGCCCTCCAGTTTCTGCTGCAGCTGCCAGTGGTGACTTGGGGAGCTCCCAGCTTCATATAGAATGGGGAGAATCTGAGGGCCAAAGAGGAAAAAGAGTTGCGAGTTGACACCTGACTAAGAGGAGAAGAGTCTTTGTAGTAAGAGGGGGAGTGCTCACGCTGAGAGAGAAGTTGGCATTTTGGATGGCATCCTCGGCCTGGTGCACAGTCGCTTCGCCCTGGGGCCCAGCCCCACAGCCCAGCAGCTCCACATGCTCCTGTACTGACTGACAAAGTTCGTTCACTTCCTGGAGGGAATCAGGAATCAGTCTCAGTCTAGTTATCCCCCCACCCAGCCTCTCCCAGACCCTATCTGCGTTCCTCCCAGGGTGTCTGCCAGGGTGGGTGAGGTCCTGAAGCTGGCACCTTAGGCCAGTCACTTAGGAACCTTGTTCAAGAAGGGAGAGCAGTATCTCTTCCTTTGGTTCATTTTGAGAACTTTAAACATCTAAGTGTTCAGTAAGAAACTTCTAAGTGTTCAGTAGGAAAGGAGCTATAGGTCATGTCTGTATTTTACAAGTCTGTCCACCACCCACAGAGGATAAACTTGGGAGATAGCAGAGGTTGGTGAGAAATAAAAGTGAGGAGCTATAAAAGAGGGACCAGGGGAGCAAGGGGTGAGGTGGGGCATGTTTGAGAGTTGGTTCAGAGCAGGACCAAGGAGGACAATGAGGGCTCCAGTGTGGCCAGGGAGATTGGGAACATTGTCCCAAATTTCTGTCCACAGTACCTGGTGGTTGTGGGCACCAGTGAGATTGAGTTCTAGGGTAGAGATCAGGATTTGTGGGAGAGGATGAAGTCATCTGAAGATGTGTAGTGCATGAGGTCCCTGCAGGATGTGTGGAACAAGATGTCTGGGTTCTGGAGCTTAGGAGAGGAGTGGTATTTGGGAGTGGAACAGTGAGAACATCTCCAACAGGTAAGGTAGTGGAGGGAGATAAGGCCAGAGAAGTGGATGGGTTTGGCCACACAAAGTCAGTGGAGAATGAATGAGAGCCCTGTGAATGGGAAGTCAGAGATGGAGGTACAATCAGGAGAAAATTGAGGGAGGACCTTAAAATACCTCCCATCTTTAACGGGAGAGGGTGTTTACATGCTTAAAGTCAGGGAGCCAGGAGAGTTACTTGGTAGCTACTTTAGGAAGGGCTGACTGTCTTCAGACCAAAGGAGAGGGACTTTGGGACAGCAGGACTCAGGCACCCTAGCCCCAGGAAAGCTAAACTCTCAGATTCATAGAGACTCCCAGGTGTCACAGCTATCCATGTGCCCTACCTCCTGTGGTTGGGGAAGGGACACTGACCTGCTCTGAGGGGTCTGAGACCAGACCCAGTGGCTGTAGTCGGGACTTGGGGTCAGAAGAGGCAGAGTCCGCACGGTTGTTCCTCAAGAGACAGGCTTGGATCTGGGGGCATGGGATATTGAGAAGTGGTGGGGATGGAGCCAGGGTACAGAGAAGGGCAGGGGAGAGAGGACGCCCACCTGATGGACAGCACGTGCTGTCAATTCCGGGCGGCTGCGCTGCGCCTGCGCCACGTCGCTCAGTGGCAGAGGCATGGCCTTGAGGCTGTGGTTCTGCTCCAACGCCTGCGCCACGTCCAGCAGACCCAGAGCCGATGTGTGGTTCCGGTCCCAGACCACGGACCTGGACCCGGCCGGGCTTCAGTTGAGGGCGGAGCTCCGCAAGGCCCCACCCATCCCTCTGGTCTCGGCCATTCGCCTCGCCCGCCAGCCTACGCCACTTGCTCCGCCTCACTCAGTCCCGCCGGGTAGCCGGGCACGCTCTCTAACCACGCCCCTTCCCGTAGCCCCGCC